CTCCTCACTTCATTTGTTGATGTCATTTGCGGGGAGACCAAGAAAGTCTGGGGAGGGAGGATTGATCATAATTGTTTTGTGTGGCACTAGGACTTGGAGGGTATATGGGTTGGGTTTGTCCTATTCTATACCGGTAACAGTCAGCAACCAATTATCACTATTTTAGAGAAAGATGAGAAAGGCCTGCAACTGAACCATCATCATCCACTGTTACTTGTAATAAGATAGACCCAAGGTATGGGATTGATAAGCCCACCTCCAAATCGTTAAGGAATGTGTGCCGCCGGTTTTAGGATGATGTTTGACAGTTCTGAGTTTCGGCCGAGGGCTGGATCCATTCCGGAATCTCCGGAGGGGCTTCATTCCCTACATGTCCCTACGTACTCGTCGGAATTCCATGGCTTTCACCCTCCGCCGTCCGCAGTGGGTCGAAATGCAGATCTTCCCGAGGGCATCCGGTGGCGATGAACCTCCCAGCTTGCGGTGTGCACAATTTCGGTGAGCACCTCCCAATTCTTGAAGTCAACGCTCTACGAGTGGGTCCTGGTGTTGGGTGGTCTGGGCGTCGCCGCGAGGTTCGTGAAGCCTTTGGAGGAAGATCTGACTCAGGAGATGCGCAAGCGGTGCGTTCCACGGAGTGTGTGTTCTGGCAAACTAGCATGCGTTGTTCCCAAATGGTTGGTTGGGGCAACATCCTTTTCCAAGGCCTTATGTGCTCCAAGCTGAGCCCGGGAGGGCCTGTGTTTCCCGGCAAACGTTGCAGGATGAAGCACCACCTGAGCATGAGGCCTGCCAATATGTGGTGTTCTCGTTTCCGGGTGTGCATCCACTGGGTTTTGGTCCATGGTCGTTTGCTGCCTCCGTTCGTGCGAGCCCTTCCATCGGACGAGCCGTAACGAGCCGTACGATCCACGCGGCAACAGCACGAGCACGACCGAGACCGCTCGGCTGCACGGTGATGCGTTGGTGGACACGTGACTCAGGAGTTGACGGTGAGAACTCTTGTTTTTTTGTACGGAGTTGCAGAACACAGCATCCTGTCCGGAGCACGGCGTTGAAGCTATTGGTTTTGCCATCGTTCCGGCCGTGGGTCGACTCGATCCATTGGACCTACCAAGACGAGACGCGTATCGATCCAACACGGCGCATCGATACATTGGCCCTGAAATCGATCCAACCAGGGCTCCAGGCTGAACGACACATGGCCCAGTGAAGATCACCTCTCGCCACGCCCCGGACGCGAAGTAGGCGTTTTCAGGGTCTTCGTCGATCCCCAAAAGGGTCGGTGTTTCGTGACAGCGATCGGTCCGAACACCGGTGACTGGCAGTTGGACTGACCATGACCGACCCATTTCTCACCCCAGGGTAGGGCCCGCCCAAGGGGGCGGGTGGGCGAGGAAAGACGGTTCGTTGATTTGTTTGATTGCCACTCGCAAGGGAATGGATCCGAAGGTCATCTACCTGCATGTTTCATCATGTGTCTAAGAATATGCACAGTTACTGTTGTTGTTAGGAAGAAGGAACAGCATCGTTTCTAACATTAAATATGTTTTGGAGTTGTTCCTGACATGGTGAAAAAACACATGTTCAAGCGGCATATATGACCCTTGCAGCACGGCACAACATGTTGCCAACTGTTTTCAGTGCTTGTGTTGAAGACAATGGAGGTTGCAAACATTTTTTTTTTCTTGAAGCGAGACACCTCTTCCACAAGACTACAAGAAAATGTACAGTTTCACCAAACGGCGCTTTATTTTCCTCACAAACCAGTGGACCCAGGTATAGTAGTGGGCCATTATCCTCCTATGGCACCAGTCAGTTGTGTGGGTGGTTTGAACATGACGGAATCCTGTAAGCGACATGTTTGAACACATGTCGCTTGAATGACGTCAGCTGGACAAAAACGAACGGCGGACCACGTGAGACTACTGAACGGCAGGTGTGCACCCCACCGGTGGCGCAAACGAAGATGGACGAGGTCGAGACAGAGGCCCGGAAGAAACGGCAATGGCAGTGGCCAAAGCAAGCTAAAATGCACTTGTACTTGTCACGGTTTTGCTTGTCACTCTTGAAGAATCTTCCATGGTGTTTCCAGGATTCTTCAGCAACTGTCAGACACTCGCAGAGGGGATAGCCAAAAGAAACCCCGAAATCGGAGGGTGACAACAGTCAACGGGCGTCCAATACCTGCAGACCATGCATGTATGAAATAGTTAGTTGATGATGATTACATTCGGGTCATACACTTGGTATATTATGTGTTTTTGCAACATTTTGGCAACTATTCACATGTATAGATGACATGGCAACTATTGTGTCTCGGTCCTGGAAGCTATTAAGCATGGAAGCTATGAGCCCAGTTGAATTCGTCCATTCAGCAGAAGGACTCGACTAAACCCCCAATGGGACGGTCCGGTCCTCTTCACAAAGCCGGTCCCCTGAGCATCGGTCAGCATCGGTCCTCGGCTCCAGCAGCATTGGAGAAGGTGGAAGGTTGGAGGAGCAGGTTGCATTCTCATGTTGGGAGCCTTTAGAATCAGAATCCGTAACAAGTTCATATAAGTTCCACATCCAAGTATGGAAACTTTGGAAGTTCTTCATAGTCGGCATATCGTCGGCCCTGTGCTGCTGATGATTTTTATCTAGATATACCCTCCAAAGTACCCTCCAAGTCAATGACCTCGTTAAACTTGTTCATCTAGAATTGGAGATAATGAACATTGATAGTATTTATTAGAACCTAGTTTTACTTGGTCCCGTTAAACCACAAATAGTGTTCATGGTCATGATCTCTTCAGGTGGTTTGGAAGGGACTCGAAGGCCATTTTAAGTGAAATCAGAGATGTTCTTGGAGGTCAGGTCATTGTGGGCCAACTATTGAGCGTTTGCCAGGAACGTTGTCCAGTTCCGCAACAACCTCCAACTTCAAAAACTGCAAGTGATCTTCCACAACGGCTAGGTTTGTGATGTGAAATTTTATAAGAAATCCTGGCAAGGACTTGTATCACGTTTTGTGCTCTCGCCTTCCAGATGAGGAGCCAAGACCACACCGAAGGGACCGATTGTTGAAACAGGTACACCGAACTGTATTACCCGTTCGGGCTCCAGTCGTTCCTCAGAAGGTATTTGGACCCTCCTGGCACAAAAACGTCCCACCTTCGAAAAGAGGGTACGACTGGAGCCCCAACGGGTTATAAAAAGGAGCACTTGTGAAACTTGCGTTTCTAGAATCTACACCACTCCACCCCCCATGGCTACCCCTTCTGTAACTAAAAAGAAAGACTGAACAAACGCATTGCAAAGAATGCTGTGTCCTCCGCGTCTCCTCCGTCTCCGCATGGAGGTCACCAGTGCTCGTGGTCCCTCTGGCGGGTTTGGTGGAACGGACGACCGGTCGACGAGCATCGAGTTAGCATGACGACATGACATGACAAAACAGGGGAAATGGGCATGGTAAACATGGGACACCAGCGCTTTTGGTGTAGAACATGTTCGTAGATTCTCTGCCATGTCGATCTTGTGCAGCAGTATACCGTAATGATCCAACTCTTCATTGGGTTTGGGTTTGGTGTATTTTTTTGGGGTACAGGAGATGGTCGCACAACCGCCGCGCAATGTATATAAAAGATCTTTCCAAGATGGACTTCGCAAGTAGGTGGGTACTGATGGGGTTGGTTGGCGAGATGGAGAAGGTTCACAGACCGGTTGCTCTTAGACGATCGACGGGTTTTTGGTTCCTGAAGCAGGTCTATTTCACTGGCAGCCAATGAGCGAGAACAGCGTTAGAAATAAGTGAGAACAAGTGAGAACAAGCACGTCCGTTATGGAGGTCGCCAAGTCGAAAAACTGTGCAAGCCATTTGAAGAAGGGATTTCTTTTGCCATGAATTCTGGGTCACCCCAAATCCCTTATTTAGGCTTTGTCGACACGAAAAGACCCAGTTTTTTCAGACTGGAAGCACCATTCGTCAGAAGATGTGTTTCGCGATCGAAGACATGTCGCGATCTTGACAACATGTGTGTTTTTGTAAGGAAAAAGAACGCCCATGTCGTCACACAGATCCACTGCATCCCACTTTCCGCTGCACATTTACCGAGTCTTCGTGTGCCTTCGACATTTCGGGTGAGACATGAATAGATGATGCTCGAGTTCCAAGTCCCTCACAAAAGAACTTCTCGGCGCGAGAGATGGTAGTAACCTGGTAGTACATAAATGTCCACCGGAAATGAGCAGTTAACCTCAGTCAAACTGGATCAGTTTCTGACTGACCTCCTGGAGTCGTATGAACTATATATGACCATGTCCAAACATGAGATCAGGAACTCCTGACCTGTTTGTAGGGAATATTGGTTTGTACATGTTTGTACATTGATTTCTTCCTATACGACCATCTGTTGGGAGTGTTCCAAGATCGATACACCCGACGCCTGTTGGGATGGTCCTGGTAGGCTAAGGCTAATATGGCTAATGATGTTCTCTTGAAACAATGTTCTGTATGACAAGTCCATGAGTTGACACAATGAGGAATCAACATGCTGGAATGATTGGAATATCAGAATGATCCCGGAGCTTTTCATGTCTTTTCAGTGGTTTCTAATTCTGCCATCGCCCCCCTGCGCGTTTTGGCCGAAAAAGCAGCTCCCGAGGGAGGACGGGAAAAAAGGTCCCGATCAGGACCCTCAGGGCAGAAATCAGCTGCGGGCCAGAGATGCCCAGAGAAGACAATAAGGGATGAGTATAGGTTTCAAAATCTTTAAACTTAACCTTTTCTGCTTTCTTCACGCAGAATGGTTGGGACCACGTTGCGCACTAGTGCGGGCGCCTTTTCCATCTCTATTTCCACGACACATGTTTGGAAAGATTCCACACCAAATAGAATCTTAAAATTCCAATCACATTCAAAGATGCTCTTATAGATTGAATACAAAAAATAACATATAGAGATTTGAAATGTGCCTTTGTTTCTACATGGCCAGTAGCTCATGGCACGCAGTTTCTAGCAGCCTTTTTTTCCTCGCGGGTTTTTGAACCCGAAGCCATTGGATCCGAAGCCATGGGTTCTCTTGGCCGAGTGGAGACGGCCACGGGCGAAATGGCCTATGTGCTGCCTCTTACGGAGGAGATGTACAATGTGACTTGGCACCCGGCGGCTTTGCAAAGGGGGACCAAAAGGACTGGGGACTCCGATGGGGAACAGCATGGCCCGAAATTGAGACATCCAACAAATCAACCTTGAAGGCTTTGCAAGGCCAATCCCATCCTGGCGGCCAATCCTTCTTCCTTCTTCACGTACTGTTACGTCCGGGCCGGGCCGGGGCCACCTGGTACTCAACAGGTCGATGTCGCATGTACCATGTCGCCGATCGGATGTGTCGCACCGTTCGGAGGTTCCAGTCGCAGGGAGTCGCAGGCGTTGAAACCGCCAGTGGGAAATCAAGAGAGTGAGACCGCCAGAGGGAATCACCAGCTGCGGACCGTCTCAAAAGGACCGACCGAAAACTCTATAGCTAAGCTACGAAGTCGTGCTCCCTGCATTGATCTAGTGGCCTACTACTCGAAGTATATGCTCTTTAAGAGCTGGCAACGCAGGGCCTGCGCAACCGTGGACTTTTGGACTCCTGGAACTGAAAGAGGTGGCCAGTATGTGCCTAGGAACAAGCCTTGGAGCGCCCCTCGGGTCCCGCACGGACGTCTCCCGCTTGACCGGCGGTCGCAACAGGTTTGTCAGAACCTGCTGCGCGAGCAACCCACAAACTGACAAAGCCAGATGTTTTGCTCATCAAAAGAACATTCCCTCAAAACCATTTCAGGGTTCCTGAACTAGTTCCTGAATCGAAGATGATGCAGCTCCCGTCTATAGTCTATATAGTCTTATAGTTGTCAAAGTGTTGTTGTGATCAACCACCATGTACTGATCATTGATGATCACTGGTGACAGTACTGTCCTGCACCTCCAACACCTTGGAACTGGAGAGTTAACTAGCATGTAAAGAGCCTGTGTACCCCATTCCTTTCCAGCCAAGTCACTCCAAGTCCCAAGTCCCAAAACGGTGAACGAATGGATGCAACGTTGGCCAACAACCAACCGGTTCAGAGTCGAATCTGTGGTTCGCCAAATCGACTGGCTGTTTTGAAGGCTTGAAGACTGCCGGCTTTTGGAAGTATCGAACGGCATGCCATGTTCTTGTCCAGGACATCCAAAATCAAACAAAAGAACAGTGGTTTTGAAATGGGTTTCCAGTCGACTGGGTGGGTTCCCATTCTAAGTGTTCCAATCATCGATGGTCATCGATGGTCGGTCTAACGCAGCTTGCAAATCCTGTTTGGGGATGATGGTGAGGATGTTTTGGTTTGTTTTCATTTGTTTGCTTGCTTATTGCTTGCTTATTGCTTGCTTGCTTGTTAGTTAGTTAGTTTGTTTGGTGCAATCCTGGAGTAACGAGGCCACACCTCTAGAAACACAAACAATTGAACATCTTCTACAAACGGATTACATTGGGCTGGTTTCAAAAGTTTTGGACTTGGATTCCCTTGCATGCTCACAAGCTTTTGGTCCACTCGGCACATGTGCTACACTTGTCACATCAATCAAAGCTAAACTGGCGGCAAAAGGTTTGATTGATGAGACTATGACCAGTTGCTTCCCCACGAAAAGGAAATCCCAAACATCCTCCAGGTGATGCTTCATGGTCTGAAGAGTTTCACTGACGACCTGCAGTCCGGGCACACCGACAGCAGCGCCATCGGCTACGGCTGGGCGCCTGCGCCCTTCGCCGCCAAGATCTCAGCGCCGCGGTTTCTGCCGCTTGGCCGTGAGGTGCACACGGCATGAGATGAGCCTCCAACCTAATACCTTCTAGCTACTAGTAGCTTCTTGCTACCTGTATATATCTAATTTAAATATAGTAATGGCCTCGAACCTGATAGCGATGGCCTCCACCTAGTAGCTTCTTGAGTTGCTGGAGTGCCTGTTGCTTTTTTTGCATGCATGTTCATGAATTGTTCTAAATTCATGGTTGTGTCGATCCGTGGACAACAACCGATGTGAAATCCAGGTAGATGATGCCCAGGAGTTTGGTGTCAAAATACGATATCCATGCATATATTGTTTGGTGTAATATGTTATGCGTTTTTGCTAGTGGCTTGAATCTGAGCAAGTAAGGAAAGGCCATTTTCCAAGAACTTCCGGACTTCCGAGCCCGTACAATCCCGTCACATTGAGAGTTCATGTTGGGCCACAGCTCAACAAGTTCTCAAAAAGAAAGAACTGTCACCTGGACATCTTCCAAAAACCCAAAACAGACTCTGCACTTTCCTCTTCCCCGAAAACGCCCACCAACTTGGTATACCCTCACAGACCTCCCCTCCTCCGCACCAAAGCGGACCCTGTTTGGGCACCTTCTTCGCGCATGCGCATGGGCCATGGCGACCCCAAGCCGCGCCGAGGCGACCCAAACCGCCCACGCTCTCGCTGAGCCTCCGCGACGCCGAGCTGCGCCCCGCGCCGCTCTCGGCGCGGTCGCCGGGCGCCGAGGGGTCCCGGTCCCCGCGGCGGCCCAGCTCGGCGGGGCGCGAGGAGAAGAGACCGGTGCTGCCCAGGAGAGCGGGAGGTGAGGGGGGAGGTACTGGTAGGTACGAAAGATTAGGCAGGTTGAAGGTGAGGTTCGTTGGATTTCTGCAGCCTCAGCCCTGTTGAAATGTCCATTGATAGGGACTTCGGCAAGGTTCTTCAGGGACCTAAGCAAGCATTCTCCAATCTTGCCAAGACTATCAAGAGTCCCTTAGCATCCCTTAGCTGTTTTCGTCCAGGTTTCCAAACGCTCAACATGCCTCCACAGGTTTCTAAAACTGCTTGTGTCAGAAAACCTCAAATCTGTTGGATACAATACCCTCGAAATCATCGAAGAAAAGAATAATTACAAAGGTCCTCCAATAGAGACCAAATCCTCATTTGAAAGGTTCTCTTACGATCACCCCAAGTCAACCCAGCAGCTTCAGCCCGTTGCGTTGCGCAGGATGGAAGCTGCCGCACGGACGACCAGCGACTCTGACACCAGCCGCGGAGGTGCTGCCAAAGAGATCGTCGCTCCGCAGAGCGCGCGTGGTGTGGTGTTGCCTCCTGCCAAATCTTCTCGGCAGCGGCCGCAGAAGCACCTGGCAGCCGCGCCGTGGTTGGAGAGAAGGGAAGAGAAGACCTGCAGAATGACGGTAAACCCGGTGGAGCAGAAGGACACGGAATGACAGGGTATGATGGTATGACGGAAGATTGGGAATCACCCCTGACCGGACGAATGGAAAGGCGTCCTGCCCTGTCCCCATCTCCACTGAAAGCCATTGAGCATATATTGAGCACTGATTCAATCCCAAACACTCCGAATGGGACTGCCATAGGACTGCCGATCAGGCCAGGGGTGCTTTGGGGTGGTTAATGGAGTGTCGGGTGGGAATTGTACAACGGCTTGGCTTTTCGAGCTCGCCAAGGACGGCAAGGGGCCGAAGAAGCCTGTGACGAAGGAGCCAAGGGAGTCCGTGCCGATGCCGCCTGAGCGAGTGCCTCAGGACTGACACATCCAGGTTGACCATGTTGTAGAGATGCCGTGGATTGTGCTCCAATCCCCAGACACGACCCATGGGACTGCCACATATGTGATAAAACCACCCCAACTGATCGGCAGTCCTATGGCATACTTGGAGTGATTGTTTTTGAGATGCAGTACTACGCTGATGGATTGCACGGTTTCTTGATTTTTGCAGAACACTGGAGGGTTAAATTAAAACGCAAACAGCGAATCCAAATAGTTCAGATCTCCCTGGAAATGTCTGAAGAGCTGAAACAACCGCAAGCAACAATGGAGTTATATATTAGAGGACTATAGTCTGCAAATGTCTGGATGGACGACCATTTTTTTGTGGCATGTTGCATTCCTGCCCACACGTTACTTTGTGGTGAGTTCAGCGAAGGCTACGCCCCCACCAAGTGGTTGATCCTCCTTCACCATCCTAGAACCGTTCATGTTGATCCTTTACCATCCTTTGCCATCTCTAAACCTGAATACACTTGGATCCTCCAACCAGGATTTCAACAGCCACAGCTCTGAATCGAAGAGCTACCCACTTCAGGACCGGCACCGTCCAGCGCCGATGCGCCCCGTGCCCAACGCGCACGCGCAGAACGAACGCGCAACGGGACTGGCGGCAAAGCATGGGCCTCGTAGCTCGGAACAAGTCCCGAAACGCAGCGACCGGGGCGAGTTCGACCGAACGCAGCGGTTTTGGGGCGAATTCGAGTGATTCTGTGAAGCAGCTGTCAGACTAGGACATTCACATACTAACCCATGGAAGCCATCGCTAGGTTTTGGAGGCCATCTCTTGTAAGTTAGTTGTTTGTGTCCCCCCCTTTATGCGTTTGTTTTGATACTCACAGGACTCACCGTGTTGAACAAACCTGTGTCGATCTGTGATGACCGGGCGATCTTCGTGACCGAGCGCAGTTCTGCGAAAGTAGGCTACTCTTCAACTTCTTCATCATCCAAACATGACCATTTGGAGAAATGGTTGAACAGTGTTCTTTTGTGTGCCGATGCAACCCTCACAATCAAACAGTCTAGATGAAATGAAACCTGTGGAGTTTGTACTTTCAGAGTGAGAGAGGAGACAGATGAGAGACGAGATGAGACGAGATCATAACGAACCAAACGGCCAAACACCATGTGTCAATTGGGTTCTCGTTTCATCTGCCTTCTTTGATTACCGTGCCAAGCAACAAACAAAACATGCAGAAAGTCAGCAATCCGTGTGAATGTTTGAGAAACAAGAGCAGTCCTTCTTTGTTTCTTTGCAGTAATTAGCCTTGAATAACTGGCGTGTTTTTTTCCGGTGCGGAAACAAGTGCGCGCTTGGATCTATGTTTTTGGAATACAAACAACGACCAGTTCCAAGAGAAAATGTCCAAGAGATAGTCTATAGGTTTAGGTGAACTTGGTTAATATGGAGTTTTGTTGTTCTCGTTTTTTGCAACAGCAATTATATTTCAAGATATGTTAGAACCAAACTATTTGTCATGTCTAGAAGCATAGAGATTGGAACTATTTTCAAGTACTCCCACCACCACATGTCATCCTGTGAACGACGAGCGCATGATTAATAGGGCAACACACACACACACACCAGAGTAAGAGTGTTACACACCATGAAACAAACAGAAACATCGTTGAATCATTGATCGTAGCAGTCTGCGTTGTTTTTCATCATTTACCCTCCGACTCACTATAACATGGAAGTGGATGGCATGGACCGTTTAGGCAATGTTCCGAACAGGCTGGGGCCGGTTTTCCACGAACCAAACCGGTGGTTTTCCGCGAGTGTTCGTCGGAGTGTTCGCCATGGACACCTGAAACAGGAAACCTAGAGGAACACATCGCCTTCGCGAGCCAACGCCTGCTCTCTGGACAGCTGACCTGGAAGACGGAGGACTCCTTCGCGGACTACCGCAATCTGCGTGCAGGCCCGCGGGTGAAAATGGCAAGTTGCGCGTGGCCGCAAAATGCCACGTGTGGGATTTGTGATCAGGAAAGACATGTCAAAGAATGACCCAGACACTCCATGTGTGAAAAAGTTGCAGACATTCACGGCCCTGATTTAGATAACCATTCCTTACATTATCACTTGGAGTCTCTGGTTGATTTCCAATAGTCTATTTTTTTTTATGCGCCCTTGGGTTTCATTTCGAACCGGCAGCCACGTGTTTGGCCAAAGTTGTTCTTTGATGGGATGACTATTTATATATATCATATTGTAATAACATGTAATAACATAACTATTGTAATACATATATATATATTGTAATATGTGATTACTGCTTTCAAGGAAGCTTTTCTTGACGAAAGACCCGCACCTTTGGGCCGTTCACCACGGGAAAGAGGTTCGCCGAAAAAACCAACGGTCATTCCCATCAACCCCCTGATGAACATCCATGAACTATTCGCCGGGAGTTGGCGACTTCGCCTTCAGCTGAGGTGAGTACTTCAATCATTTCCAGCAGAATGCGGCGCTGACCACAAAGGCTGGACTGACCAAAAGTCTCAAGGACTATTCCACCTCCTTCTCCGACGCGGAGAGCTTTTTCCCTCGATGCCCGGCTTCCGGACACACTGTTGGAAATAACTCGAAGAGAACATGGGAGGCACGCAGGTACCGCTTGTGGGTCGACGCCGACGCGCAGGACTTACTTTTGTGATCTTTTGTGTTTGACAGCTGTGTTCCGCAGTGCAACACTCCCACGCCTGAGGAAGACCAACTAGTTGCGTTTGTTTGCTGTTCGGAACAGCTGGTGGAGGGTCAATTCTTGCAAAGGGGGGTCTAACTTTGCCATCTTTGTTTTCATTTCGAAACACATTTGCATACATTTGCTGTTGTTGTCGAAGCTTTTGTTGCTGTTTTTTGGAGTCCAGCATGGTGGGTAGGATACCCTGCAGCACTGTTTGCAGCACTGAGGATCCTACGATGTAGCGCAGAAGAGCGAGCGTGAGGAGCCCAAACTCCGATGTGAACGCATCCAGCCGCCCAAACGTCCCCAGACCAGGACCATCCAGTTCAAGAGGTGCCCAACCTGAGGTGACAGGAGGTGCCCCAGGTTCACCACCTGTGGTCGGGTCCAACTCTCGTGGGTGATTGGAGAAATCGATGTCTTAGTTGAAAAAGTGTACGACAATGAGGGAGGGCTACTTGTGGGCTACTTAGTAAAGCCCGGCAGAACCCGAGGTTTGTAGTAAAGGCCGGCTCTTTAACCAAGAACAACTATACTCACTACTCGAGTCTTGCCCTGCATCTCGGGGAAGGAAAGGAGGTGACCTGAAAATGAAAGATGGCCACCACGTAAAGGGTAGGTTCTCCGAAGGACAATACATAGTCAGGGACCAGTTAGGGATGTCTTTAAACCACTTTCCCCTGTGGTGGCTTCAATAAGTGGCTCAATCAGCATCCCTCCATGGAAGGCGGCGAATTCGCACACGGTTCAGGACTTCATCCTCGACTTCCGGCGGTCGGCGGCGTTGCGCGTGGCCTTGCTCCACCGGCGCATGCGAAAAGATCAGCAGCAAGGCTTGAACGTGGCCTACCAGCGCCTTAGATTAGAGAAGGTTGGACGTTGGGCTGAAGATGGACCTGGAAATATTCTAGGAGGAAGTTTGGGAGTCACGGTCAAGGCATATAATTAAGTCACATTTTATAAATCCCTTGGGCTAGAGCTACACAGCCTTGGGCAGGCACAGAGCCTTGGTTTCGAACTAGCCGGTGATTGAATGCGTGCACTTGAATTTGCCAAGCGGGATGTGATGGAGGTCAGCCATCCTGACGCTTGTGGACAGAAGCGCAGAGGTCAAGGAAACAGCCAGATTTGATTCGTCTTGCGACGTGTTTTCATCATACAAAATGGCACACCCAGCTCACAGCAGTCAGGCTCACCCAGCTCTTTGATCCTGTTGCTCATCCCGAATGACCCGCGTTTCCCACGCTTCTTCAGGTGCAATGAGACAGTGTTGGCTGCCTCGCAGCGGGTGTTGCAGCGCTGGCAAAAGGATTTGGACCGGGAGCACCTCGATGAGGGCGACGAGGGAGCGCATCTCTCAGAGGTGCGGCCGGGGCGTAAACAGGAGGGTGAGGGTGGAGAGGGGTTGCAAGATGGAGGTCAATTCTTGGGTCTTTAGATGGACATGTTCCCACATGTGACATATTTTTTTTGAACTCTCGGTGACTCATTGCGGGTGTATGTTCATGCGAGTCGTGGAAAACGGTTGCAATATGTCCACAGGGCCTGGCTTCGACTTGCAAAGTGATCCACTCATCCCACAGATCTCACTGCCCAATAGCCACTAAGCACCAACCCATTCATTCATTCACCTGAATTCACCGGACGCACCATTCATCGAGCAAGTTGCGTCATTCCCTTCAGGACCTTTGGGAAGCGTTGCTTCTGTACAGCGATCTTCAACAGTCGGAGCTCCTCTACGGCGTCGCTGACCGAAACCGGCACGCGAAGAACGCGCGGAGCGAGGCGGGCGAGTGGGCGGCATGGGAGGAAGAACCTTCGAAGGGATCTCGAAGCCCACTACTTATGGGAGATCCAGCCAGGACACCCCTATACAGGAAGGTCCAGGTATTTTAGTGTACGTTTCCAGTCATTGGTGCTTTTCCCTTGAATCAGATACATAAAGTTGAGTGAGGTTGTGTCAGATTGGACAGAGTCAGAGGGGAATTTGCGGACAGGATGTTTGCTGGATTTGTTGTAGATTTGTGTATCTAGTTGGCATGAGCACCGTAGCTGGGTCTAGCAGTGGCCTGATGTGTCCAATGGGATGTCGAGAAAGACATTTGCGCTGGTCGCTGGTGCAGCGACTCTGGTCCTTCGGCAGGAGAGCTGCGTGCAGGAGTTGAAGTTATGGCCGGAACCCTGACTCGGATGTTCAGGCACGGACACTCCATGTATGGCATATATGCCTATACATTAACCCCTTTTCAACTGCCCCAATGTAGGAAAATATGCCCCCATGGAGTGTGTGGGGGATGGGTTCTCAGGGATTTCTGCCGGCGTCCAAGGCCAGCACAGTCAGTTGGGCAACTACTTGGGTCTGTTCTTCTTTAGCACTTGATAGTCGGATATGAGTCATATGAGCCATTGGCCGAATCATCCTAGGATGGAGATGAAGATGATCGCATAAAATGTATGATCTATGGGACAAGTCACTGAAATACCATGCCTTTTTTTCCGGCAACAAGGGCGTTTTGACCGTGGTTCATTTTGGTTTGTTTCTCCTTGATCTGCATAAGGCGATAGCCCTCCTCAAAAGTGATCGCCATGTCGCCGCAGAGATTGGATAACAAGTGAATGTTCTTCCCTCGAAAGCGATAACTTTGCGCTGAATCATGTCCTTTTCTTAACAGGACATTTGGGTAGACACTCAAATAGTTTCCAAATGTCCCACATCTCCCTGAAGCTTCAGCTCGTCTCAAGAAGGGATCGGGTACGTGCTTGACGTCCCGCATCCTGGAGCCACGCTGGCCAAATCATGCATGTGGAGTGGTGTTTGCTTGACCAAACAACGCACATTCAGGACATGTGACATGGGTCACATGATGTCACATGAGGCGGAACACCACGAGCTTGTTCTTCTTCGCCCCATATCCCGGTGACGGATGGAGGGGCCCCACTTGATTGTTTTTGAATGAGTCCATGGCCTTTCAGGATGTTTCATGAAATTTCCGATAGAAAGACAGAGACTGCCAGAACACTGTGGGGCGAAACAAGAACCTTCCACTCCTCTTCGATATCAATCTGTGACCTTCGAAGATTTCCAGAAATTTGCCCTGTTTTCAGCTGTCCGGCGGTCGGTGACGAGAATTCTGAGCACCAAATTCTGAGTGGGATGGTGAAAAGGCACCCACCATTCCACCGCTGGAATCGGTTGAGGAATTCCTCAGCCACCACTGGGGCTATGGAGAGTTTGCCGACACCTTGCAGCATACGCTGATGAGGTGGGGAGACTCTGACGGTTGCTGCGAGTTGCCACCCCCCCAACCAGCCCACCAAAAGAAAGCACCAGATTTGGCTATCGAAGATGCGGGGCTGTTGGCGATCTGTGACAAGGAGACCCTTCCAGCACTCCAATATGTCACCTGAAAACTTGTACTTCAGCATCCGCCTGACAATTTTCTCTAAAGAATCAATTAACCCGAGAGGTCCGGGTGTGAGGCCGAATTGCAAGGAGGATACTTCAGCCATAGTCCATGCATGGCGTCCATGAATGGCGTTGCTTCTGCTGAATGTACGAAAACCCATCCCATTTGCGTGCTTTCAGCGTTGGCACGGCATTCTCATCGCACCACCCTGGCACTGCCCAGGCTTGAGATGCTCTTTCCACAGTGGTCCCTCTTGGGCAACGAGACGGGTGGCCGCAATGTGTGGATCGTGAAGCCCGGGACGAATTCCAAGTCCAACGGCATCGAATGCATGAGCCCCCTGGCTGGGACGTTGCCGGGGTTGAAGAGTCTCGTGGCGTTGCGGCGTGGTCCCGATCTTCCATGGGCGGGCGGTCCAGAGGCGGGCGGCGGCGGGCGCGTGGAAGAGGCGCGTGGAAGAGGTGGTGAAGAGGCAGTCTTTGGCCGCTGATGTCTCAAGCTGAAGGCATTTGAAGGTTTTTTCTATAACAAGGCATGTTTTGTTGGGCGGAAGTAGATGGTTCTTGAAAACCACAAAAACTTATCAAAACTCCGGAGATTCTTCTCTATGAGGATGTCGCCCTATACCAGGTATATGTGTTTTGCATGTTGGAGGCCAGCGTGGGAGTGGAATCAGATCAAGGAAGTGGAGTTGTTTGGGCCAGCGTCCTTTTGGAACATCAAGAGGTATCAGAAGCAGTTGTTTTAAGCTACTATGACTACATGCATATAAAAATACTGTAACTGTTCTTAGGTCTTGTTGCTTAAATTAAGGTATATCAGATTACAGTATTCTGCATCCCACCTCCGATGTGAGATCACAGATTGTGCCAACCCCAGAACTAGAGATTGTGATGTGTTCAAGGCATTTTGTTCCGAAATTCATCCCTGACAACTCCGTGCATGTTTTCTGCGGTAACACACATGTTTATCGTCTGCAACGGACCGATCGGGTTCAGCGGGTGAAGACTGAGGGTATCGAAGTGATCGGACAGGCGCATGACAGGTGACAGCGCATACCTTCCCAGCAACGAACGACAGCCACAGACCAGGCAGAAGCCCTTGAGCGGCAGTGTGTTTCCCCCAGGTCCCAGTAGTCGCGCGCACGTGCTCGTAGTTTTCGGAGTCGGTGTGTGTTCGCTTCCCTATGGCGAAATCCCCTTCTGGAGATGTTTTTGTCCACTTTTCGTAAGCAAATCAATCCAAGATCACGGAACATGTCTGAACCAAACTGGCAGTTTCACTTAGACCGGGTAAGCAGCCACCCAGACTCACAGAACATGCCATCTGTTCCATTGATCCAAGGTCATTTGAAGGAGCTCTTGTAGCTTGGCGCTCGTTCTCAGACGGCCAGGGGCGCCAGGGGGGCGATCCGGCGTCAGGAGCCATCTCTTTTGTTTGGAACACCTACCCCAGGCAGTACTGTGGATCACTTGCCACTTCACCTTTTTTGGGGTGGGATTGGGGTGTGACTGGGAGACCTGGGGTGGGGTGTGTGCGCTGATTTTTTCAGAAGGTTGACCTGGTGCCATGGGTGCTAAAAGCAAGTCGCCTTCGAGAACATTGGAGCACACAAGCCACAAGTCTAACTTAGGCTGATATGGGTTTTCGACAATTGTTCAGTACCTGTGACTGTGTATTGAAAGGCAGTGTTCAAAAGTAACATCAAAGTGCAGAAGCTTGTGAGCCAGGTTTTGAAGGGATATCCGCTTCAAACGTCCCAGCGGTTTTGCAGGGCCCTCTGAAAAAACGTCCCTCACTTTGCGGGTCAAGAAGTCCTACCGGTGCCGTGGCCAAGGGGAAGAGAAGCAAAGGTGGTTGGGACGTAGTGGGTAGGGTAGTGGGGGTGGCAGAATCTCCCTGGCTGGCCACCTATATGCGGCATTTGCATGACCTGGCTGGTCGCCAGATGCCAGTCTTTCAAAATGCCCCACGGTCGACCCGGCTCTTCGTCTTCTTCACCGAGGCAGCACTGCGACCGCATGCCGAATCGCCTCGTGCAGAAATACGTGGAGCGGCCGTTGCTGCTCTTCAGCGGACGGAAGTTTGATATCCGGCCGCACGGACTGAATTTTACAGCCAGGCAGAGTTGGCCAGGAAGATGTGTATGTAATATTTTAATAGGGGCCAACTCGCCCACACTAAACCCCTTGGGGAGACCATTGAACCGGGTTTTGGTTCCAAATACACCACCATGTGGCACCAATGACCACGTCTTGGGTATTAGGACCCTTCCAAGACGTAAAAAACTGTGGTGACCCCTTTGGATGACTGGATGATGCTGATATGTGCTGATATGCAGTTACTCTTGCTCCTTGGATTGGCCTGAACAACAAGACTTGCAGATGGTATCCTTTTGCAATCGAATTCGTGCAATGACACCATCTTCTTCCATCCTCTACGCCAGACAGAAACGACATGCACACGGCATAATGACAACGTTTCGTTGCCACTCGGCCCTTTCTCAGTCACAAATGCACGACTCGGACCCTTTTCGATCCGAGGCAATGGGTCTTGGTGAGGTGTCTTGGTCCGTGAAACGCAGTGTCAGCAGCTTGGGTTTCGTTTGATTTGTTCATGTCCTTACTATATTTTACTACATTTTCCTACCTATAATTGCAGCAAGAGTAACCCAAGTAGCACAAGACCCCTAGAAAAATCATGCTGCAATCCCTTCGGACTATTGCCATGCTTGTTAAACATAAAGGCAACCTTGCTTAAAATTACCTATGTTAGGCGAGTAAGTGGGCTTGCGGCGGGATGTCCATCGGGATTGGCAAGCTCTTCACAAGCTAAAGATGATACACGTTACTTTGGGTATATATCTGAGAAGTGACAATTTACATCCCTTGAGTCCAATTTACATGTGAGACATGGAGATTTGAGTCCATTTGGACATTTCCATTCCATTCCACTCATAGCCCGCAATGCGGGACCACTAAAAGGTTCCCATGAGTGCCACTACCCCGCAGGGCCTCTCTGGGGTCTGCCTGACCCCGCGATGGCTGGCGGGCCCAACCAAGGTCGGTAGAGCCATTGAAAGTGTTCCTCTTTAGCGAATGCGCCTTGGACGGATGGCCGTGACTTTTCAATGGCCTGTGAAAGCGATGAAAAAACCCAGACGCTCCATGGGACTGCCATATATATGCCTACATTGGGGTGGTTTGGCATACATGGAGTGTATGGGTAAGGAAGTATGACCAGAACCACCAATGACACCAAGACTCATATACTAATTTCGATCATGCACATGCTGACAACACTGATGAGGGTCATGTTCCATCAGAAAGGCTGTGAGATGCTGTGAGATGCTTGTTCAATGTTTTTTTTTTTTCACATCCCTTGAACACATCAACAGCCATGGATTGGTTCATTTTGGTCAACCAGCGGTCCTGGATTTGGATGTCCCATACCGGCCATTCTTCCTCGTGTCGTTGATGCTCGCGTCTGGGAGACGTGACCACGATCGTCGTGTCTCCCCACGACGCGATGCGAACCGTGGAACCGCTTGGGGAAACATCACCCGTCGACGCGACCCGTCTGGGGCTGCCAGAGATGCGAATCCATCACCACCACCCCTGGCACCACCACCACCCCTGGGCTGTTTCTCGGCAGTCCGGCAGTCTGGGACTCAGGTCGTGTCTGGGTCATAGACATCATGAAACATCGTGTCTGGGTCATATATGCTTGCATTGACCCCCCAAACCACCCAATGTATTCAAATATGGCATACATGGAGTGTCTGGGCCCTGATTTGGAATCTCCGCTTTGTTCTTTCTCCGTCGAACAGCGACAAGCACTGGCGAAGAGATAGGCTACCTGCGGCTGTGCAACGGCATGTACGACCTGGGTGATCTGCGAGACCGGGAGAGGCACATTTCCAGCTGGCAAGTCAACAAGCAAATCAGACTGCACGGATGATTTGGTGGTGGAACAATGGAGACTTGAGCGAGTGATGATTTGATGACAGCTCTTTGGATGGGACGCATGCATGTCTTAATATTTTATATGTTATTATGATAGGTATCAGATGATTCCGCAGGGTGGCATCTGGACCTAAAGAGGGCATGTCCATGGTATGCTTCAAAGCACGTGGCGTGCTTCGACTTTTGTTTCTACCTGGACTCCTGAGCGTTTATCTCAGAAAACACTGTCGGTCACCCGGTTGCCTGATTCCATTGATATCTAGTTTGGGTGTTGCTGAAGGACTGTAAATCCAAGTGGCAGGGATTTGACCATTTCGACGGTTTTTTGTTCAAGAACACTCCATGTTTGCCATATATGCTTACATTGACCCCCCAAACCACCCAATGTATTCAAATATGGCATACATGGAGTGTCTGGGTATGATTTGCCTTTCGAGTGTTCTAAGTCCTTTCAAGAGTTGAATTTCACATTATGGTGCGCTCTTCCATGCCCGTGACCAGCTCAAAATGGTCGTTTTGGGAGCTCAGCTCATCTTCATGCCACGCCACATCTCGGCACCCGGGCCGCCCGGGGCCTTGGAACGTCTGAGGCATGGCAAGAACGTCGTGGATGGCGCCGTGGTCTCCTTGGAGGTGCCGTGGTCTTCAACGTGGTGGTGGATGGTCCATGTCCTTCCCTGATGGTCCATGTCCTTCCCCCTACTGGTCAGGAACTGACTTCATGTTTAATCATTATTACTCAGGTTGATCAGTTGATCATACACCTGGCCAAGATCCTTTTTTTTGCTGGCTCATCCTGTACATGTATAGGGTTCAGTAGAACCTCCTGGGGCCTTTACCTAGGCCCTGTGCACCCCCTGTCCCCGCCTCAATGTTCACGGCACAGGATTTTCGCCGCGAGTTGGAAGAACTCACTGGGCAGAAGGAGACTGAGCCTTCCTGGGATGACTGAATGGGTTTGGTGGTACGCTTTGATCCGGAACTTGCGAACTGGTGGGTTTGGTGGTAAGATTTGATCTGAGAAATGCTGTTCCCATCTAATCCGCGTATATCAGGACTTGGCTCATTTCCCAAATGGTGGTTTCTATAAAGTTTCTATAGGGTTTAATTGGGGTTTCCCAACATGCTCGTTTGGGATTTGAGCGAAGAGTTCTGAGGGGGCTGTACTAATCCCAGACTCTCCACTGTGGGTATGTAGTCTATGATTTACATCCGTCCCTGAAACCACCTATGTGTTGCTCACGTACTTGCCTACATGGAGTGGTTGGGAATCATGTTTCGGCTTTGTCGACCCTGCAACTCAGTGGAATCCATGGACATTTCATTGGGACTTCGATTGGTGCGCCTCGTAATGATATATACAGTATAAGTTATAAGATGTTATAAGTGTCAAGCTAACTGGTAGCCGGATATAACTAGGTTGGGTATGGTTTGCAAAGCCAAGGAAATTGCACTTGTCGGTGGGAAAAGCTGTGGGAGGCCGTCGTTCAGAGCAGGAATTGGAGGCCTCCATGTTCTCTCTCCGTTGTCAAAGGAGAAGTTTAATTACAACATGAAAACAAACAAACTACAAGGTCATGGTTTACAGCAAGACCTCGAGCTATAGGAGCATAGGAGAAGAACTTCTCGGTCATCAGTCGTCTTCGCGCGTAGTTTGGAAGACACAGATTGAAGGACTACTGGGAGAAGGAGCTCCTGCCACAGATGAAACACATCGTCGTTGAGGTGCAAACTGTTTGATGTGATGATGAGATAAGGTGGAAGACAGAGAGGGGTTGGTGGAAGACAATTCGTCACATCGGTGGGCGTTTTAGTCGGCTTTGGATGTCTTGTGACCCTACATTCATCTAGGAACTGAATATCTTTGCATCATTGCCAGTTGTGCCAAGTGGTTGGGAACTTGCATAGCATACCACTTGGGGTCCGGTACTTTCAACCTTCTGTTGACCCTCCGAAATGTGTTTTTTTAAAGGCTTTTACATACCCTTTGATCAATGCAACCTCAGACCCCTGGTCTGCCTCAAAGGCATGGGTTTCCTTAATCCGCCCGAGCAAGCACTTTGAGAATCTGAAAGAACCTTTCAGCACAAAATGCGCTCATGCGTAGGACAGATGAAGGGCATCGCTACTAGTAACAAAGGGCATCGCTGCTCGGAGCAAGGACGCTACTAGGGGCTCCTGGCCTTACTACTAGGAGCATTCTTGCTACTGGTAGCGATGCGATGCCCTTTGTTACTAGTAGTAGCGTTATTGTTCCTAGTAGTACGACCAGGAGCCCCTAGTAGCGTTCTTGCTACAAGGAGCAAAGTGTCTAGTCGATCTGCAGCCGCACTTTTTCAAGCAGTTTGGCCTTTGCCAAGCTTTAGCCATGACGGAGGGCACGATCACGAGTGACTTTGAGATGCTAAAGTCACTTGACTTCAATCAATGCTTTTCTTTGGACGGAAAAGACAAGAGTGAAGCGAGCAAGTCGTTGTACACCCTTGGATGTGTGGTTCAGGGTTGAAGGGTAGGTAATGGGCAGTGACTGGTTGAAACAATCAAGCAAAATCAAAACTAAATAATTGCTGGTTGCGCCAAAATGGCTGCTTCAGTGGTTGTTGGGTGAGGAAGGGAGGTTCATTCTCAGACTCCCTGGAACATGTTGTGCATCAAGGTAATTATAGTGAATTATGTTGAGGTCCATGCTGATCACAGTATGAAGGGCACAACAACCACATTCCCCTGATGACAGGAGGTATGATGTTATTTTAAGATATTTTAAGTGTTGATGTCCAAATGAACCTCCTATACAATGTTACAACAAAAAACTGACGCTGAGTTCTTCCCACTTGCTTTGATAAAACTGTTTGTAGTATGTAGTTTGTCCAACGTGAAATGAACATGGCTTTTAATTGTATTATGTTGACATTTGGTGGGAGGTAGTATGATGATCCCCCAAGAAGCAAATATGATGTGGAACATAGGGGGGAGATATGAGATGCCAGCGGAAACCCGCTGGAACATGAAATCAAACAACCAAAAGAAGGCCCCATTGTTCTACTAGCTAGGACTTGCAAAAGAGCAGGTGTGATGTGCTCCAGATCCTCCCATCTCCTCCCAACTTGCAGAATTGCAGCGTACGGATCGGTTCATTGAGCCTGTTTCGGGAAGAGTGTTTTTTAATGTTTGTGAATCTAAAGGATAAAGGACTACTGTAACAAACACTGATTAACTGCTATGTATGTAGTCCAAAAGCCATGGTGTAGTTGTTGTTTTGCCCTAGATCCTTGGCTATTAGATGCAAAGCCGCCAATCATGGCTAACTTATAGCTTTTTCGTGTGGTCTACCTAAAATTTTGCCTCAAACTCCAAACAAACTCCAAACCTAGTGATGATGTTCCCAAGGTTGTAGGTCCACCAGGTATGGACTTCCTGATGAAGGTCCGTCATGAAGACTTCGACCGATCGTGGATCGTTCAAGTGGATCGTTCGAAGGGTCGGCTGATGGGATGGGAATTGGCCGAAGACCTCGAGTAGTTAGGGTGACCCATGAGTGTTCCGAAGAGCGCTCCAGGTGGTTTGAATTCACCTCACCTCAGGCAACCATGATTTCCCTTCGCGTGTCAGCCCTCTTAAGCCCTTAGCTCATTCCCCAGACACTACAGGAGGTTTTGATTTCACGCAAGCATATCAATTCATATCACCCACAAGATCTGGTTGTTTGGCCCGTGCTGCGCTGAGGTCGCATCTCCTGGAGATTCTGCAGGCACACGAGGGCCTGCGTGTCACCTCGCCCCGCTCCAACGGCAAAGCCAAAGAGGAGGCGAGGCTTGAGGCTTGGGGGGTCATCCCCAGCTTACCAATTGGACTGGAATATGTATGAACATATATGATATTTAAATACAATATAGTTACATACCTTTACCCCTGGGCCCGCCTTAGACTGACCCATCCATGGATTTGGAATAGTTACATTTACCCCGAAGCAGGTGGTTTGGGGTTCAGAAGATACTCGAGTAAGAAGGATCCTGGGCTTTTGTTCTGATATTGGATTCGACTGGACGTTGGCTGAAACAAGGCAGAAACGAAGGCCTGTGGGATTGGAAGATGATGTTCTTTGATGTTCTTTACCTATTCAGTTTCAAGGGCAACTGTCTTTCTGGCCTGGAAGATGACTTCATGGGATGGGTGTGGACATGCCAAGATCCAGAAGAGGCAGTCAGGCAGTCATTACCTGTCTAGAGCTCATTTTTCATGCTGTCCGTGTTCATTTTAGGATTGGAAATACATGTGGATACAAGTGGTTCAGCCAAAGTAGCCTGCTTTGGAAGCTTGGGTGCAAGTTCTTCAGCGTGTCTCCATGCTAAGCTACCAAATAGTCTCGTGCACCCCATTCCCTTGATCATATCAATACCTTTTTTGTTTGCTCTTCAATGATGGTTTTCCCAGCAGCACCAACGCATTCCGATCTCCAATCCTTCGCGTTGCTGGATGGCAAGGTCTTGTTGCCCCGGGCCGCGTTGAAAGTGTTGGATGCCGCGGAGGAGTACCGCAAGGGTGTGGAGTACTTCAATCGCGCGCGGGACTTGGTTGTCAGCAAAATCAGTGTTCAATCAGAGGAACGGCGGTTGGCAAAGTGAGTCCATGAACTGTGAGGAGAGATGAGGGATGCCTTTTTGGAGGTGTCGTGTGTCTTGGAGAGCCTTGCTGCACCGAATGTAGGTGGTGGAGGTGGTGGAGAAGATGGACAACTATGAGATGATGGTCTCAGGTGCGAAGGGGCTCAAAAGGCAGAGACTGACATGAACCTTACCAGCAAATGTTGCCAAACTGATCCAAACTGTGTTCTATGTAAGGTATTGTTTGTTGCTGCCATGAATCACAGCATTTGGGCGCAAAGAAGTAAGTTCGTATGTCCAAGCCGTTGAAGTGGAGTGTGAAACTGAACACACCCGAACCATAAAAGAACATTTGAATCGTCTAGTATGCCAACCTGATGCTGCTAGTAGGCTCTTCCTCCACACTTCAGGAGAAACATCTCTTGTGCATTCTTGGCACTCGCATCTTGTCACAACTGTACCATTGCCTCAAGCATGCTGGCAGAATCACCCAGTGCCTCCTTTGCGCTGTTATATCATCTAGCATCCTCAGCCTTTTTTGATATCGGTCATTGCTCTGGCATTTTCTCTATAAGAAGGCTCTTGTCCTGCTTGACGATTATCTTGCTCGCTTTATTCATGTCATGCTTCTCGGCTTGTTGGCGGTGCCATAAATCACTTAATCTGGTCTCAGATCTTCTGGCGAGTGGAGGGGTGGTAAAAGGGCCAGGGTAACCTCAAGATGACACTGCTGGTGGTTGCTATTGTTGTTTGGAGGAGGCAAGTAGCAGTTTGGGAGAGCATTGGCCAATTCCTGCCAGCTGGTGTCCAAGACCGAGTACTTGATGAAGTCCTCGACAATAAATCAAATTGTCCAGTGGCAACGATGTTTTTGCGATCAATGACTACAGTATTGTGGTCAGTTCACGGTACTGCCTCGAGTAGGAATCAGCAGGCTGAAGCAGTCATTGACCAAAAGCAAGGATGAATTGTGAAACAGTGGTTTCCTCCTTGAGGCCAATCGTGTTCTTTTTCCTGGGCCCGCAAAGAGGGTGGCAAGAATTCCGAACTCCCCAAAGACCTCTCAAGAGCATCAAAATGGCACACTGGACAGGGTGGAATCCAGGACACGCTTCTGGTCTTCTGGCCGCGTCCTCGCAGGCCGAGTGCTGCAGGAAATCCTGGTGCCGCCTGGAGACAAACCTTCCGTCGACGTGATGAGTCCGAAGTTGGGTCGGATACACATGTGGACTGGATATTTGTGGTTATTCCTTGGACTCATCACATGGACTCATACACATGTGGTCATGCAGTTTGGGTCGATGTGATACACGTGTGGCTGTGTCGTCGACCCGTCCCACATCCTCAGGTCCGAGAACCATCGGGGTGTCGGTCCTACCGTACCGAGAACGGATGTGGGACGAATGGAGGTTCGGTTATAGATTAGGAAGGTCTCCAACCAATGGGTAGATGGGTCTATGTTTCTTCCAGGGGGTCGTTGCATGCGAGGTCCAAAAAACCACACCCATGTGGGAACAGACACACCCACAACAACACACCAAGACCCCTTTGGATGTGTTAGAGAGTGGCTTCTCATGTGCATTTGCAGAAGTAACAGATCACCTGGGTGCCCCGAAACGGTGTCCATTACATAAAAGCTCCTTAGAGGTCAAGGGGTGTCTTTAATCACCCTTTTAATACCCTTTAGGCCTTTAGGGTCCTGGCACATTGATCACGCAACACCAAGCCCAACTGAAACCGAGAGCCAGTTAAGTGTTTCTCTTCGAAGACCAAGACGTTACCGATCATGAAACAGAGCGACCCAGGCCTCTGGAAGACAAGTTGCCAGGCTTGCTGCCTCCCTCTTCCTCCTATTACATGTGGTTGGTTTATCAGAACATACTCTCCCTCCAGCAAACATGGAAGTGCATAAAGGACAATGTCCTCTATCGTGGAGTTGTTTGCACTTCCATGTTTATTGAAAACAAAAACAGTACCTTACCGTTTACCCTCCTGGCCATGATCCGTACGCCTTTTCAACTCAAGCAGAAACTAATGCTGTAAAGTTTGAGATTGAACCCCCAAGTTGGAGTTGGGCTGGAATTGCCAGTGCGGCAGGATGCAACAACCTTAGGGTGTTGGATT